GAGTCATGACCTTAGTAGGCATGGTGGTGATGGATTGACAGTTGGACATGATGATCTTAGAGGACTTTTCCAACCTTAATGATTCTATGATTTTATGATTGCTCTGCTCTTGCTTCACTACCCTAGAAACAGTAAGGGGAAGGAAAACCCAGGCAGACCTGAGCACCTCCTCTTTCTCAGTCCTGGATCCTCAGCCCAGGCCCTGGTACCCAGCACCCAGAGTAAACTGGCTCCTCCAGAGCTGCCTGAGGGTTCGCATCCGCAGGGATGACCCTGAGGGAAAGCTGCTGTGGGCACCAAGGCACCCCGGGCTGTGGCAGGTTCCCACCAAGGAGCCGACCCTGATGGGACCTGGGGGTGGCCAGCAGACCCCCGACCCAGGGCACCCGCAACCCCGGAGAGGGCAGCTTGGCAGGTCCGGACACCGCAGGGCTGGTTTAAGACCTCAAGGACAGGATGAAGCAGGCGTGACCTGCTCTCCACAGGCAGCAGAAATTTGTTTTCTGTTTTCTTTTTTTATTTTTTAAACCTATTGCTGGTTGATGATTTTCTGTAAGTGTTTAACAGTACCGAAGAAGTGGGACCATACCAAAATTGTCATCTGGCAGCCACGCAGGCTCACGTGGCTAAGCAGGCAGAAGGACAGGGACCAGTTCTTCTCCTCTGGGCAACACCTTTGGATGCACCAGTGCTGGGCTGAAGACAGACAGAAGTTTGTCCCGTGATGATCTCCAAACCACAGGCAGCGTTGTCGGACCGTGTGTACACAGGGAAAACCACAGAACTGAAGCGTGTGTCATGGAGCGAAGGGTAAGACAAAGAAGGTGGAAAAAGATCATCCTTCACCAAAAAACCCCAGGGAATATTTTCCCCTTTTTCCAAAGCAGATGAGAGCAGTGTCCTTTGGCTGGCGACCCATCAGCAGCACGGAGATGCTTGCAGAGGCAGGGAGCTCCAACAAAAACCCAACGCCAAGACAGGTACACGTCCCTGCGACAGGTGAACGCTGCCCTCCTCGCACTGCCGGCACCGCACGGCAAACCACCGCTTCGGAAAGAAGCCGCAGCCTCGGTTATTAAAATATAACATTTCATAACCTGGTGGCTGCGAGCTGGAAGGCGTCCTTGGCTCTGCAGCGGCCTCGCTAGAGGGCAATGTGGGCTAGAGCATCCGCTGAGCAGCGAAACAGGTATCTCAGATCTTAGAAGAAGATATTAAATTATTATTCACCTCTAGGCTAGCTTAAGAAACCCTCATTTTAATTATCTTCTTACTTTTTCTATAATTTTTCCTAAAATCAAGTAAACAACTGGCTCACCCCACGTCCTTTTTGTTATCTTTTTTTGAGGCTCCAACAAAATCTTACCACTGCAGTAACAGTATTTTACACTTTATCTCACAAATCAAGCAGGTTTTGGAAAAATCAAAGGCATGGACTGTCAGGATGGGCAGTCTAGGGCCCGTACAGAGCTGGACCACGCTCAAGGACCAACGGAGCACACTACTGGGCACAAGAATGAGGTGACTGGGATGGTGCCTGTGGTTGAACATTTATGTGGAATTGAGGGCTAAGGGGAAATTAGCCAAGTTAGAACTAGCT